CTTTAATCACCCGAGTGTTCAGTCTCAGTGACGATTTTATCAATAGCTGGTTTGATTACTGTAATCTGTGAACTGCACATGGATTTTCACTTGAAATTGTTATAATTCCCTCGACGTTTAATATGTTCTTTTTGGTTCTTTTAATTCCTGGTAACTGTCTTGTGATTGCAGTTTGACGATTTTGTGGGGAAAATAATTTAAATAAAGCGAATCAGATGCTGGCTGGCAGATCCAAAGTATCACAGAGAGGTTTGCACTGAGGACTACTTTCCTTTAAGCATTGACTGACTGTAATTCTCTTTAATCAGAGCTGGACTGGCAAACGGAGCAAAGGTTTGTCTGAACCCTCATTCCTCCTGGGTGAAGAAGCTGATCAACTTCTTTCTGGAGAAACAGCAGACGGGAATGACCTCCAAGAAACGGGCATAAATCCTGCAGTTGTCTGCAGCTACCTGACCACTGAGCCATGACTGAAGCCAATATTTAACCCACTTTGGCTTTTTGTTTTTCTTTTTTTTTTTTTGCTACTTTATTTTATTTCTCCTGATTGTTTATTTCTGAATATTTTACACCAATATATGGAATAACACTGATTTTAGAAAAAGAAAAGCTTCCAGTTTTCAGGGTGTTAAAGGAAAAAACCCACCAGTCAAGTGATTGTATGAGCAGATCTTGCATGTAGCATTAAATATGTAGCACTGTAATACGTAACACTGCACTTCCTTTTTTCTACTTCCTTTGGTGAATCTTCTTGATCAGCAGCAACAAATGATTTAATGCTAAAGAAACACTCAGATCAATGCAGTTATTGCATAATGAAAATTAAGTTGCTGCAAAGAAAATAAAAATGTTTGAAAACTAAAATGTGTTTATTGTTTATTCCAGCAGCCAACTCATGTTTGGCCACATAAAACATCAATATTTTTAATATGTTTATTATGGGTTTTTTTTTTTTAACATGTCAGCATATTATCACTGAAAAACGTGTGACATTCTTGATGCAATGACGCTTCAACTTTCCACATCAGCTCTTTTTTATGAATGCATCTCTGTTTTAGCCGTTTGGCACTCTTAATATCAGATTTCAGAAAACTGCACTTTCAGGAGAAACATCTGAACAGCATTTAAGCATTAAAACTCTAAACATGCATTATTATGTACAGTATATCTGACCCATCGGGGTCATTAGCACCAAATAAAGTTTAGTTGAAGTAAAAGATTGTGTTGATCCACAAGAAGAGCAATGCACCAAAACCCACACACATTAACATTTACATAATATAAAAGCAAAACTTCAGATGTGAGAGGATTGCTCGTAATTCAAAGTTGAATCCTCAAACCTGATATTTTTTTTTAAAAAAAAGATTTTGAATGTAATTCAAGTCATATCCTTCTTTCTTCACGATTCCTGCCACCTGTGTTCTTGTCCTTAGCACACTCCAGCCTGGCTTAAAAGCATCTCCTCTGTAAGCTCTCACTGCATTCCTGTGCAGTGATTGTCTTCTTTGAGGCTACACTTTGTAGCTTTGAAATCTTTGGCTTCCTGCATCTATTATTTAGGCAGACAGATGAGATACCCCTAATATAGTGCTGTGAGCACATTAGCCTCAGACCAGCTGTTAAAACCTGTCTGTCTGTTTGTTTGCTGCGAGGGGCAGCCAATCAAAGAAAGTCTGTTTTATAAGAATAGATTAACTGAGAGTCTGCACCAAGGGCCAGTATAAGGTGATTCCGGATATTTTGAACCGTGAATCATGCAAAGCTACCCTGGATCTGGAGATGAGCATCAGAGGTCCATTTTAAATATGCATTATATACAATTTGGGTATTTGTTTTATAATATTTGTATTTTTTTAATTAACTCATCCTATGTTAGCTAGAACAGAGTCCGGCCTATTTAACCACTAAAACTGTTTTTTCTTTGCATAAATTCTGTTTGATAATAATGTGCTTTAGCAATC